AATTTTTTTTTCTGAACAAGCCATCTCTTCAATTTCGTTAAAAAAAAAACTTAATTGACCGTTCTTGCCTTTAGTGATAGATCGAAGCTTAGAAAATGAAACAATGGGTAGATCGTTTCCTATAATTTCTCTTTCAACAATAATATTAGTTAATAAAGAAATACTTTCAGACATAGAAAGGCTATCATCCTCTCTATGTCTTTTTAATCCTCTCTCATATTCTATAGTATGTTTTTTAAAAATGCTTGATCCATTTACTACAATTGCATTATAACAATTAGAACACATATACTTATCCTTATGGTCATAATAAAAAAAACAACAAAACAAAAAACAAAGCAAACAAAAAGGTGTTGTTCATTTAGAGAGGGTGTTCGTTTATGGTGGGCAAAATATATAGAGTTCTTATATGGTGGGGTCGAATTATACCATGTATTTAGAGAATTTATATAGTGTGCATTTATGAAAGTCTGACTGTAATAATTCCTAATCAGTTTAAACTTGGTTAGATCATAGCTACTAGCTCACAGTTTTATAGCTATTTTAATCAAGTTTATTGATCTCAAAAATATTTTGGTGTTACGAATGTCTACATATTGACTAATATTTCATCATTAATATTACCATTATTGATTATATGTATAGACCACTGCAAATCACGGAATTTTCAGGATTCAATCTGGAGTTTGTCAATTGTTTCGTGAATTTCTTTTATCAAAGTCATTTATCGAAATTCATACTCCGAAGATACTTGGTGCATCTAGTGAAGGCGGTGCAAATGTGTTCGAAATAAAGTATTTCAAAGGTGAACCGTGCATTATTTAAGCTGCTAACATTATTTATCTATATACACATTTCACTATATGTTATGCAATGTGAATCTTAGGCAACGCATATTTGGCTCAATCACCTCAATTATATAAACAAATGTGTATTTGTTGCGACTTTGAACGTGTATTTGAAATTGCTCCTGGTAGGTGTATAACATTATCGCATATTCATTGTACCAAACTCTTCGATATCTGATCAGTCTAGTTTATTCGCTTTTATACAGTATTTCGTGCCGAAGACTCCAACACACATCGCCATATGACAGAGTTCGTCGGTCTTGATTTGGAGATGGCCTTTGAGGAGCATTATCATGAAGTACTTGATATCCTCGATGAACTATTTGTTTTCATTTTTGATGGTTTAAAGACTAGGTTTGCTTCTGAAATTGAGACGGTAAAACGACAATATCCATCAGCGAACTTTGAATACCTTCCAAAAACATTAAGATTGGATTTTAAAGAGGCCGTTCAATTATTAAGAGATCATGGTGTTGAAATTGATGATTTAGAAGACTTAAAGTTTGTTTTTCATTTTTTTGCCTTTTTTTTTTTTTTCCTTTAAGATCTCATTTAAGAAGTCCAAAATGAATGACATTTAGCACTGAAAAAGAAAAACTTCTTGGCAAATTGGTCAAAGAGAAATACAACACCGATTTTTATATGCTCGATAAATACCCATTGGTAGTTCGCCCGTTTTATACAATGCCAGATCCTAATGATCAGGTATCCATTGTTAAATAGTTTATAAAAATTTATTCTGGAATAATCGCAATATGATTTAGAATATGTTAAAAGGACTTTTAGGCTATAAAAAAAAAGTTTTTTTTTTTATTTTTTTTTAATAATTGCTCTAAAAAAACTGATGATAATTTTCTTTTATTAGAACTATTCAAATTCTTACGACTTTTTCATGCGTGGACAAGAAATTCTTTCAGGTGCACAACGTGTTCACGATCCTACATTATTAGAGGAGCGTGCCAAAGCACATGGCATCAATTTACGTTCAATTCAACCTTATGTTGATTCATTTAAAAGAGGTGCGCCACCCCATGCTGGCGGTGGTATAGGTAAGTTTATTTTTTGACTTTACAATTTTGTATTACTGTTGCTAAATTTATTTGATCATAATTATTCTATATAATTTAGGTTTAGAACGAGTGGTGATGCTTTACCTAAATCTAGATGACATACGTAGATGTTCATTATTCCCTCGTGATCCAAAACGACTTGAACCCTAAAACAAATTTAGACTATGTATGATAATGTCAAATAACTTTAAATTATAATAAAGAAGCAATTGATATTTTAATTTAAGTGCACCTCAAATCTGTTTCGCAATTGTCAATTGGTTTATCTAATACCGTTTGCCACTGCCTACAGTACCCAGGGTCTTATTCAAGAACCGGGTACTATATTTGGGGGATATCCATATTAAAAGTAGTAAATCAATATAGTTGTACCCCCGGGTCTTATTCAAGAAACAAGCCAGTAGGGGTGATGAATAATACCCGGGTCTTAATCATGGGTATTATTTTTGGGGGATACTGTAGGCAGTGGCAAACGGTAATATGAAATACAAGTGAAAGTAGCAAGTATACTTCTATAATAATTACCAATATTTCCATGTTGGACGAATCTAATTGTAACAACCTGTTACACACTTATTTGTAACAACTTAATTAGTACAACCAATAAAAATAACCAACTATTTGTGTAACCCAAACCCTAACTCTAATTACTATTGGCTAATATGAGGTTGTTACAAGTAACAGGTTGTTACAAGAACATTTATTCTTCCATGTTTAGTATATATTCTCAATAACATTTTTGCTGTCCGTTAATTAGAAGAGTTTCGAACCGGATGCAAAAACGTCACTCGGATCACCTGTATAATCTGAAATCGGGTGAACCGGTTGAAAACTGTTGGAATAATCGTGACGGCGAGAATTATGGATGACTAGTTTTTTCTAATTTTCGAGGGTGGAGTTCGATTCGATATTATCGAAAAATAAAAAAAGAACTGATTCCGAACGATAAGCATGAAAAAAAAAAATAATAAAAGTATAAATACAAACTTGTGAATAGTGTTGTGATTTGGGCGACTTTATGACTCGACACCAATTTAATGCAGGGCCACAGACATAAACTTAGGGACGATGGTGCAGTTAGTGTATTCTCTCTTCGTCGTACTCGTTGCGGGTTTTATATCGTTATCATCGAATAGTGCTACGCGGTTCTCAAATAAGGTTAAGTTATCCAGATTGGGATATGCGGTCAATCTGGAATACCAAAGTTTTCTAACCCCGCGCATGCAATTTGACTTTTACTAACGTTTATTTCCTTGGCTATTATACTTGACTAGAGTATCATAAGATAGTACTGTATATATTTTCTAAATCCAAACATGTGTAGGTGGCCTAAATGA